GGAAGCATCCTTCCATTTAAACAGCTGTGTCCACACTGTGGGTTAGTTTGCCGTAGCTAGGGTGTGAATTATTTTCACCCCAAACGACATAGCTACGTCGATCTACTTTTTAAGTCTAGACCAGGCCTTTTGAAAAGAACCAAACTAGAGAGAGGCAGGGAGTGCATGTGGGTGCAGGCTTGGTTCTGCACAGGCTTCTTGGGCTGCCTTTTTAATGTAGCTGGAGGGAAATGGCGCAGTCGGCATGCGAAACATGCAGTCGCTTAGCCAGCTACAGGAGTCCTTGTGTCTCGAGGCAGTCTCGTTCTTAAGGTTGTTTGTTGGAGAATCACTATTACAGGGCAGGAACTGCGGATGCTTTTTATACTTCTGCTGCTGCCCATGGGCGGTTCTGAAAGGGTTTCTTCTTCTCATCCTTTTCCCCCCCTGCTACTCTGGGGTGTTTCTTCAGCCATTTCATAGCTATTTTAATATCCCTCAGTACTAAAAATGCTGTTCCGGTTGCGACACAAAGCACCAGCATCCAGTGAATTCAGGGTCAAATCTGACACTTTATCCTACTTCGCCCTACTGAAATCAGCCTGTGCAAATACAGGTATGGTGCCAAGGAACTGGATCTGCTGACTCTTGAGAAAAGTTTGGGGGTCTGTGGAAAACGCATCTTGGCCCCAAATACGCCTGTTGCAAGCTGCTTGGATGCCAGGGACTCTTCACACCGAAGTCTGGAATTTCTTGGAAGGGAAACTCTTTTTCAAACGACTCTAATAAAAGCACACTAACTTCCCACTGCTCTCGACACCAGCTCATCCCAGAATGTCTCTGCAGGCTTATTTACAATCACACGGATGTTCTGGCACCGAGTAGCTGCCTGTCAGTTACAGCACTTGGCTGCCAAACCCGAGTGCCAGGTAGGTTCCTGTTGCTGTTCTCTCTGATGCTAAAAACGTAGCAGCAGGGAGCTGCACTTCTCCAAATCCTGCCCTCTGTCACATACTGACAACTGCCCCTGACTTCAGTGAGAGCTGCACAGGCGTTCCATAGGCAGCCTTGGCCCTCTAGCCGTTGGCGGGGGCTGTGGTGTTTGATCATTTCTATAGCTAGACAGGGTGTGCAGGGCACTCTGTGATTGGCCAGCATGAGTTCTCGACACCTTGCAGTCTAGGAAGGGAAGTGGGGTTGTGACCCCTGTGTTGGGAGCCTGTGGTACAAGGAATACCCAGTCTGCGCCGTAAGGGATGCACAAGCTAAAAATTGGAGTGGGAATGGTGTAAACACGAAGAGCCGAGAGATCACTGTAGACAAGACAGTTAGATGCCTGGGTGAAACTGTGGCTTTGTTTTGAAGTCGCTGCTAATATTCTATTGGCATCTGGGATCTTCAACACCATCCTTGGGGTGTTTTAATCTTTGTGGTGGTGTTTAAAAGGTGAAAAGGGCTTTTCCAAGTGGAAGCTGTTTTGAGTAATCCTACTAGCTCATCCCTGATGAATGTGACATTTTGTCTGGGCATAAGCTTTCGTAGGTAAAAACCTCACTTCTTCAGATGCATCTGAAGTGAGGTTTTTACCCACGAAAGCTTATGCCCAAATAAATCTGTTAGTCTTTAAGGTGCCACCAGACTCCTTGTTGTTTTTGTAGATACAGACTAACACGGCTACCCCCTGATACTTGACATTTTGTCTGTACTCTTCTTGTTCTTTGCCTTTGCACTACCAGCTTCCCTTTGTATCCTTCCGCCTCACTCACTCATCTCCTTGTAGATCTGAGCTGCGAACACCCTTCCCCTTTGTCTAATTCCTCCCCCGCTATTTATCAGTTAATACTGGAGTTCTGCATGTGACTCCCTCAGGCCAGCCTGAGCCGCAGTTGGTGTGGAAATTGCTGCCTGGACTTAAGTTGTTTTGTGAAACCGTTACGCGCTCTTCACGTTTATGGAGTACCAGGCTGTGTGGGTTGGCGTGGTATCTGAGAGCAAACTGGCCTGTCCCAGCATGGCTCGTGATTGCCATAAGGATTTCACGGTCACGTGGGCCCCATTGTGTCGAGTATGGTGAGAATTCTAGGTAGGGCTCTGAGCGGGACAATCGGGCCTCTTTCCTGTTCTCTTAACCCCCCTGCCCACCCCCCGCAATGGGCTGGAGCAAGGGCTGGCCAGCATTCAGGGCCTTACTGCAGCGATGACACGTTCAGAGGAGAGCTCTCTGCGCCACTCTTGTTTCATTTTTTTTTCTGGCGTGGTGCTTCTCTTGTTCTTGTCCTGGTTAGTCATTCTGCAATTATTTGGCAGTTAGCAGTAATGATTTGTTGCTTTCCAACTAAACAGGAGTATTGCAGCCACTAGCTACCTACCTCACGGGACACTCAGATTACGATATTATCCTCTTCGCACATATAGAGAAACTGAGGCACAGAAAAGGATGTGACTGGGTAGAAGAGGCAGTGTTGCCTAGTGGATAGGGCACCAAACTGGGAGTCAAGAGACCCGGATTCTGTCCCTGGTTCGGTGACTGACCTGCTGTGCAACCCAGTGTGGGCCCCTTCACTTCCCGTCTCTATTTCTTCTTCTACCCTTTGTCTGTCTGTCTTGTCTATATAGATTGCAAGCTCTTCAGGGCAGGCCCTGGGTCTCCCTGTGTTTGTACAGGGCCTAGCACAATGGGTGGAACCTCTGAGCATCACCCTCAGAGACACAAATAAGAACATTGGCCACCCAACGGGTCCGTACCAGGGCTGGAATTAGCACTTTGGACTTCCTGGCTTCAGTGTCTATATTACGACAGATGTGGCAGGTTTTTCCCATGGAGCATTTATTGTGCACCTGTGGAATCTCGGCATTCCCAGGCTGACTTCCTAAGGCAGGGGGATGCTCAGTAGCCCTTTTGGGGGGGCGGGGGGAGCGTCACTGCAGGCCGACAGGGATGGATGTTTGCTTAGGGCAAGAAAATCCCTAGACCTAGTTGTGCAGGCAGCTCTGTGCCTGTGAGCTCTGGGGGCGGGGGCCTTGCTCAGGTAGCCCTCTTTAAAGCAGGGCTGCCTCCTCTTAGAACCAAGGAGGGGGGAGATTTTATCATTTAACTTGCTGCCTTTATCGGGGAGTGCTGGCTTAGGGGCTGTTAACCTATTAACTCCAGGCACTAAAGGGGACAAAGGCAGAACAAGACCCAATGGCTGGAAGCTGCAGCCAGACAAATTCCCATTAGAAATTAGGGCCCAGTTTTTTTTAACCGTGAGGCATGGGATTAACCCCTGGAAGGAAGAGCCGAGGCAAGTGGTGGATTCTCCATGACGGCAGATCAAGTCTGGATGCCTTTCTGGAAGCTCTGCCTTAGTCACTGGGCACAGCGCATGGGTAACTGGGTGAAGAGCTGTGGCTGTGTTACACGGGAGGTCAGACGAGATGCTCTAAAGGTCTCTTGTGGCCTTAATCTATATCCTTGGCCCTGTCCCTTCAGGCTTGGGCACTGGGGCGCTAGAGACGCGGGGGTCTAACTTTAAACTACTGTAATAGGAACCAGGTGGGAAAAATCCAAGCAGTTCTGTGCTGCTTCTAACTTAGTGTGTAACCCTGGGTGATGCTGGTGTCTGTGAGCCTTGTGAAATTGCTATGGAAATGGACCAGACCAGACACTAAATCTACTTGCCCAGCCTCACCATACCGATTAAAACACAAAGCAGCTTTTACTTGCCCACCTACTATAGCTACTGGCCTGGGGATCAGACAGTGACCAGAATTTCCTGGTGCTGGTTTGTGTCTCCAAATATGGATAGAAACTCTCGACACAGGGAGTGCGGTAAGCACACAGTGCTGTATACCTGGTGAGCTGTGCTGCGCAAACAGATCCTTGGCCTGAGGATTTCACAATCTGAAGCACAGGCTGGTGCAAGCATAGAGCAGGATGTGTGCTTTACAGCTGGATTGTGTCACACGCGTGTCTGCTGGAGGAGCAGAGTGTTCTTGGGGTGAAAGGAGAGGCTGTTCTAAGTGGGGGGGGGTGAAAGGGAGCAGTTGGTACAGGGCTTTGGCAGGAATGTGGGGAGCGTTGGAGGAGGGGGGACAGGTATCTCTCTGCTGCAGTTACTGCATACCCAGCACTGTATCTTTAAAGTACTTTATTGACATTTAGTGAATTTTCATGCTAACACCATGAGGCAGATAATTACCATTATCCCCATCTTGCAGGCTGTGAGGGGGCGGGGAGGCAGAGCACGATTACATGACGTGCCTTTGGCACTGACTGCCTCTGTGGCCAGAGCTGGGGCCAGAATTTGGGAGTTCCTGGTTCCCAGATCATAATTCAGGCCTTTAGTCTGTATCTGTGCACGCCTGTCCCCTGCCTGAACTGTCTGTGGTCTGCACTGAAAGCTCGTCTGGTGCTATGAAATGATGGCATTAAATCAGGGCTTAAATTCTCCCTGAGTATTTCCCGGAGCCCCGGGGTTCAGGGCTTCAGCCCTGCGGAGCACACCAGGGCTGCTGCAGGTTGGAAAATATTTACTGGAGCTCTGCTCAGGACAGCTCTGGCTGAATTTAAGTCCTGCATTAAATGCTCCTCTGCCGGCAAAATTATTATTATATGAGAGTAGCAGCAAGGGGCCCCAAGTGAGACCAGGGTCCCATGGCCCCCGGCGTTGTACAAACACACAGTAAGGGCCAGCCCCTGCCCTGTCTAACCAGACCACACAGAAGAGGAGGGCAGAATATGTCTCACTTGCTCTGCTGAAAGCATCGAGGGCCAGATTTTCAAAGGAGCAATTGTTCAAACGTGCTCCCATGTAGGCACCAAAATAAGTGACGAGCTGCTCAAAAGAGCTCATGAGTTGCTGAGCACTTCTGCAAATCTGGCCCTTACCCAAGTGCCTACTTGGGAGGTGACTCCACTCCCGACTCTGGCTCCAAGTGCTGAAAGGTGGGGCTTGGGCAGTTAGAAACGGGCATCAGGGAGTTGCTACTGAGATGCTGTGCAGTTCCCGGTTCTATCTCCCGCTCCTTGTTCTCCCCAGGTGGTATTGCCGGTGGCATTGAGATCTGCATTACATTCCCTACGGAGTATGTGAAGACTCAGCTACAGCTGGATGAGAAAGCTAACCCGCCCCGGTACAAAGGCATCGGTAAGCCCAGAGCCTGGCAGCCGTGGGCACAGAGAGACTGGAGTAGGGATCAAACAAGGGGACTGGCGATTGTCAGGGGCTATTGGAGCTGCTGCAGCCAGTGGTTCACTGCCAGCTCCAGGTGGGCTGAGATGCTAGGCAGAGACTGGCACCGGTGGGTGGAGTGGGAGTGAGCTGGGTCTTCAGGTGCCCCTCACAGAAGGACCCTCCCTTGGAACTTGAGGGCCTGCCTCCTTCCTGTCCCACAAGGGGGGGGAGTAGGGAAAGGGGGGAGAAGCCATTTCAGGGTACAGAGGGTGGCTCAGCGCGCTGGGCCATCGGGTCTGACGTCCTGCCCCCACCAGTCCCTAGAAGCTGAGGCATCGCAGTTAGATGAGCGCTCCCCTCTAACAGACCTGGCCAGTTGCGCAGTGCAGCACACCTGTTGTCACTGAGGGAGACGGCATGTGCGTTAGAGCCCTGTTGGCGGTAGCCTGGTTGGGTGCCCAGGCTGGAGGAGTTCCAGGGATGACGGCCTCGTTCCAGCCCGGAACGACTGGCAGGCGTCCCTCCCTGGCAGGATCATAACCTTCTACTTACGTACAGGCTGCATTGCGGCGTGCTGTACTGTATCACCGCTGCACTCTGCTACTTACGCTGTCAGCTGGGGCCAGGCTGGAGGGCAACAGTCACTGGGGTGAGGGAGAACCCAGCTGGCTTGGAACCGGGTCCTGAGGATCTGCAGCCACATGGCTTCTGACTTGCTGAGTCCAGGGCTGAACAGTGCCCTGTGCCATTCTCCCATCCTGGATCAGCTCTGCAAAGGGCTTGGCATTGCCCAGTTCTAGCTAAGGAGCCTGAGTCGTGTAGCCAGACACCTGCTGCATGTGACTTGAACTTCACCGGTGGGGGGGGAGGGGACACACATGAATCAGGACTTCACGTTCCACAGCTGCAGCACGCTGGAGCGGGAGGGGAAATCCGTTAACTGCAGCAGCGTTGGGGTCCTGGCCTCCTTGGCTTTAGCGACGAGACGAACACGTCCACTCGGACAGGGATGGTGTTCTCTCCGATGGTGCGTTTGCAGCCTGGCGTTGGTTACTGCATTACCTGAGCTGTTCCATCCTGGCACTCACCTACCCTGCCCTGAGCACTCCGGCTGTTACCCAAGGACAGCAGGGAGTGCGCGGCCCAGGGAGAGCCTGAATGGTGGAAGGTGATGCCGTGCTGGCTTGTGGGGCTGGCTAAACCCCTCTTTCCATGCCTTCTCCCCAGCGGACTGCGTGAAGCAGACTGTCCAGGGCCATGGAGTGAAGGGGCTCTATCGAGGCCTCAGCTCACTGGTGTATGGCTCCATCCCAAAGGCTGCCGTGAGGTAAGGCGCTCCGGCTGTGACTTCCAGCCTTGCCCCTGAGGCGTTTGTGACTTGCAGTTGCCACAATCTGAGCCCAGGTGATCCTCCTGCTCTCCTTGACATCCACCAGGCCCCCAAACAAGCCGATGAGAAACCCCGTAGGAGTCCCTTGGAGTGGCCCCTTCTCCCCATCTTGCTGCTGAGGGAGTCTCAGGGCCGGGGGTCCGTCTCGCACAGCCTCTCCGCAGAACAGCCCTGCCCTAAAAGCCAGGCACGCGGGGATAGGCTGGTGAGGGCCCCAGGCTAGCAGGCCGGAGGGCCATGGACGTGCCTCCTGCAAAGGCGCACAGTGCAGGGTCTGTCCGAGGAGCCCTGAGTGACCCTTCCTGAGGGCTGCCTGCCATGGAGCGATTGGCATCACTTGCCTGTGTCCGGAGGTGGCCTCGTGTTTGGAGATGTGCTGAGGCAGCTCGGTCCTGCTGCGGGGAGGGGAGGGAATGACTCAGGGTAGTTTGGGATCTATCCGCAGACGGTCTCCGTCAAGGTGGGTCTGGCCAATCGTTACTGGACAGCGTGCCCAGTTCCCTGGCAGGGGTGGGATTGCCTCCCTGGATGGCCGTTCCCTTTGGGATGGATTGAGAAAACCATCCTGCTCTTAGCAGGACCAGCCTGAGTGGAGGCTGCCGGAGGGCTGGCTCCAGGGATCGCCCTGTCTGCCAGCCGGCCTTGCTGTGGGGAGCTCCCCCAAGGCACTGCCAGCAGTGTGCTCTTTGGGAAGCTCCCAGCTCCTCCGGGCTGAGCCTTTCCAAGCCGCAGGCACTGTAGGGAGTGGGGAGACGTTGCTGGCCCTGGCTGCTGCAGTCGCAGCCTTCCCAGGGAGGAGATGCTGCAGGGGAAAGCGGGTGATTTCTGAGCAGTTCGGTCCCCACCCTCAGCGCCAGCCCAGGCGGGTCAGGGCGGTGGCGTTCTGGCAGATCAGCTTCACTCTTCTCTGGAGCGTGAGGGCGTGACTCAGAGACGAGCAGGGTGGCTGGGCCGGCCGGGCTAGCAAGAGCAGCTTTGCAGGAACTGCTCTGCTGCCTTCTCTCTACCCATTGCCAACGAAGAACCAATAGCTAATAGCTGTCAGCAGTCCCAGCCTGCTCGGATGGGGGGGTCGGGCGCACTGCCACCCCCCTTCCCCTGGGCTTTCTGGCTTACGATGTTTGCAGGTGCCTGCCTTGCCAGGAGAATAGTGTGTGGGCATCTGTGCTTCGCCCAGTGGGAGGCATGAGATGGGCGTAGGGCGGCTGGGTGTTTGGAGCCAAGGAGCTACGGAGGGGCTCGGCCAGGGAGTCACTTCCTGCAGCGGCCTTGCGCCCAGGCAAGGGGAAAGAAGAGCGAGTCCTATTCAGAGGGCTCCTAAGGCACCTTCCCCCTCCTGGGGGTCCCTGGCTCTCTGCCTTACAGCCAGAACCACCTCTGCAGCGGTGGTGTGGCAGGAGGGAGTGCAGCTAGTCTGCTCTGGGTTATGCAGCCCCCTAACCAGCCTCTGGGAGGCACAAAATATCAGCCCCCGGCATCCCTGGTCTGTTCTCTCCGCTCCCCCTGGAGGCGATCCACAGGCCAGACCCGTGGCTCCATAGCGAGATGCCCCCGGGGCACCGTGGGAGCTTCCAGCCAAGCTTGTTGGCCCAGCTGCACTAGAAGCTGGCTAGCCCTGGCCCCATCCCTGTGCCCAGCAGCTGTGTCTGCCCAGGCCGGTGGGGTTTGCATTGGTTGCCTTTCTCCCCGGCCAGGTTCGGCATGTTCGAGTTCCTCAGCAACCACATGAGAGATGAGAAGGGCAACCTGGACAGCAAGCGCGGGCTGCTGTGCGGCTTGGGAGCCGGGGTGGCCGAGGCCGTGGTGGTGGTGTGTCCCATGGAGACCATAAAGGTACAGCACAGGCCCTCTGATCCCTGGTCTGAGTATAGGGGAAGACCAGAGACGACGACTTCGGAGGGGATGGCGGAAGCCAAGCAGGGAGCACCATTGCCCTGTGAGCGCCTCCTGCTGTCGGCCCCAGAGCTAGCCTGCTTGTTGGAGCAGGGTATTAACCCAGCAGAGCCTCTGCTCTGCTCCCCGCCTGGCGTCTCACAGGGAGCTGTTCTGTGCATTGGTGCTCCTGCCCAGACAAAATGTCCATGGGCTTCAGGTGCCCACTAGTGGTGAACGGTCAGAGGTGCAGAGACAGTCTGTGTGTGGGCGTTCCCTCTAGTCTCTCCTGTTGATGGGAAATGTTAGCAAGAGCTCAGACAGGATCTGATTTTCCTGGGGCCTGCAGTGAATGGCGGCTCTTCTCTCCAAGGCCAACCTTTTGTGGCCTGACCCTGACAGATTCTGGGTATCAATGCAATGAAATATCCGCTTAGCCACACCAATACACTTGCTGGCAGAAGTAAATGCAGCACACTGCATGAAATACCTAGCCAAGGCTCCATAGCAGCAAAAGGCATTTTGCATCGTTGTTGCTTCTAATTCATTGCCAGGCTGCCCCACGCCATGAGGCCATTTCGCTATCTCTGCTCTTTCTCCCCGTGTTAGACTCAGGGTTTTTTTTCTCCTTGCTTTGTAACTCCCAGGCCCAGATTCAAAAATGATGCATTGCCTGGAGATCCTGTTCAGTTCTCAGTAAAATGTGCCCTTCTCAGTGATATCTGGATACAAACGCTTCCTACACGGTGTAACATGAGAGCCAGGGACTGGGCTGGAAAACTGGCCTCTGCTTGCATGACTCTCTCCAGCGTAATCCTGAGAAGAGGCTGAGAGCTGTGAGCAGCAGGACTGGGACTCAGCAGTCTGTCTCCAGCTCTGCCACTGATGTGCTGTGTGACCCCAGGCACGTCCCTTCACCTCTCTGCTCCTCAAAGCTCCCATCTGCAAAGTGGGGATAAATAGATGGACCCTCCTTTGCAAAGTGCTTAGAGATCCTTGGATGAAAGCTGTCCGATAAGGGTGAAGGGACTGTTATTTACTGACATGTTATACGCTCTCACGGATGACCAATAGGTTAAGCATTGGGGAGGATGCACTGCTGGCCTGAGCTAGCAATAGCTACCCGTCTTCCCATCCTGGGACTTCCAGACTCTCCCCTTCCAGGTGCCGACCCTTGTGTGTTTCAAGTATTCCAGACCTAGCTGCAGTCCTTTTGTCCTAGACTGATCCCTAGGCTGATTCCCTAGGCTGCATGGGTCCCTTCCCTTTCTGACTGCATGTGGAGTGCATTAGCAAACTCTTACGCAGTTGCAGGTAAATGTCGGACAGGGGTTTCATTCCGCTCTGGAATGCCATCAGTATGGTGCTGCCCCAGATTAGCAAAGACCCTCGCTGCTGAATCCCTGAACAGAGCCTGGCTGCCAGGCATCTGACTGGGATGTTTGGGCTCCTATAGCTTGAGGGATGGGGGGGTCTCTTCACATGCAGATTGAGATTAACAACAAGTCCTAACCTTCTCTCCGCCCCAGGTGAAGTTTATCCATGACCAGTGCTCCCCCAAACCGAAGTACCGCGGCTTCTTCCACGGCGTGCGGGAGATCATCCGCGAGCAGGGTGAGGGCCCTGGCGTGCAGCGTGCAAGGCCCCGCAACGCTGGCACTGGGGGCTGGGTTGTGAACTCTCTCCTCCCACCAGAGTGGCAGACTGGTCTGTGAGCTGCCAAGGCAGCCAGCACTGTAGGGCCTCGAAAAACACTGGCTTCCAACTGTCTGCTCATCCCTCAGACAGTCTGGTTCTTGGGGGACTTGCTTCCCAGGCCCGAGCGCCTTTCCTCTCCCAGCCCGGCCAGGGGAAAGCAGTGCGGCCCTGTCAGCATGTCCATGGGAGGACAGGGGAGGCCAAACGATAGGTGGGTCTAGCTTTTTGACAGGCCACCAAAGCCATGGAGAGCCGGCCTCACCCCACTGCCAATGAGGAAATGCCTCTCTCCCCCCACCCCCCTATTAAGAGAGCTGGTCAGGGGTGGGATTCGAACCCATGCCTCGAGAGGAGACTGTGACCTGAACGCAGCGCCTTAGCCCGTTCGGCCATCCTGACGGCAGGGCCAAGTGGGTGGGGCGTGAGGAAGAGCTGGGGAGGAGCTGTGCTCTGGGCCCCGCCGGGGTGGGTGTATGAATGGGGGAAAGGGGAAGTGGTGTTGTGGGCCACAAGAAGGCCTGGGGTCGGTGGTGTTCCTGGGGAGACCAGTGTCATGCTGCTTCCCCTCCTTGAACGCTGCCCCTTCTCCCTGCCGCAGGTCTGAAGGGAACCTACCAGGGTTTAACCGCTACTGTCCTCAAACAAGGATCAAACCAGGCCATTCGCTTCTTCGTCATGACAGCGCTCAGGAACTGGTACAAAGGTATCCGCGCTCTGCCTCCCTCCCGCTGCCTCACCCCCACGTCTCCACTCCGGGCCCTGCCTCTTCCAGGGGGCGCTGCAGGCGGAGAGCCACACAGCACGGTGACCTGCTGCAGCCAGGGCAGGCTCTGGCTTCTCCAGCCTCAGCTGAGCTCCCACGCCTCCCTCCGAGTGAAACGCGCCCACCACCAGTTTTTTGTGGGGTCGCTTTGACAAGACGGAGGAAGGGCCCGGGGCAGGGCAGAGCTGGGGAGAAGGGAAGCCTGCGTTAAAAGCCCAGGGGGATGCAGACGGCGAGTAAGTGGGAACTCTAATGGGATCTTTTCACTCTGCCCCTGCTCGCACCTGCCTGCTGCAGTATACACGTATCTCCTTCTCCTGTGCACACTCAACGCCCCTACCCCTGCCCCCACACACTGGGCCTGGGCCCCTTTTGACAGTTTGTTCAGAACTAAGCCAGCAGGGGGCGCTTTCCCGCCCACTCACTGCTAGGCCAGCCCTGGCTTAGGCTTGCGCGTTCCCTGCCTTACCACCTGTGGGGTCTGAGGGCTCTTGTTTGCTTTAAAATCTCCCCAAACGACTCTTGGCGGCAAACAGGCAGCCAGGCCCCTCTGCTCACTGCGCACACCTGGAGAGAGAGAGCATCTCTGACCCCCTTGACCCCTCTCCCTCTTCTCCAGCTGCACTGGGGGCTCCCACTTGCAGGGCCCCCGTTCCTTTCACCGCCCCTCATTGTGCCCCCTGCCTGTCAGGGCCTGTGCAGCGTCACTCAGTGATGTCTCTGCGTGCTCCCACCTCTTGGTGCTCATGAGCTCTGGCCTTGTGTCTCTCTCCACCCTTTTCCCCTCCTCCTGCCCCCTTTGTGTCGCTCTCCTTCTTCCCAGGGGATGATCCCAACAAGGTCATAAACCCCCTCGTCACCGGGGTATTTGGGGCCATTGCCGGAGCGGCTAGCGTCTTTGGCAACACCCCCCTGGATGTGGTGAAAACCAGAATGCAGGTACAGCATGTGGTCGTGTGGCTCCTGGGCTTCTGCTGAGACCCCCTTAATTCGCCTCTAGGTGCTCCATGTCTACTGCTCTCGTCCAGACCATAGCCGCTGGGCCAAGCGCCGAAATGGGGACATGGCTACGTGCCCTACGGCGCCCTCCCGCTGGAGGAGCAGGAGCTGGAACTGAGACAGGGCCTTGGTGGGGAGCAGTCTGTCCTAGAGAACAACAGCTGGGGTGCCTGGCCCGATGGGAGAGCGAGGCCCTGGGCAGCAGTATGCCCACACTAGCCATGCTGTGCTCTGTGGCTGTGGTCACGCTGCCCTCCGGGGACCTGAATTAATGGCCAGCGATTCGCTCCTGGGCAGACCAGACCCAGGGCTCCCCTGTGCTAGAGGAATTTGGCGTGTTCCTCTCCTGGTGGTCCCGTAGCCCAGTGATGCTCAGACCTCAGTGGTTCAGGAGCCAAATCAGCGTTGCCCGAAAGAGCCACAGTCGTGTGAATTCATTGCCTCGTTTACCAGCTGTATATTATTCTCCCAGCAAAGTGACTGACCACGTATTATTGTTTTGTCAGCTGCGATTGGTTAATCACATAGTAAAAGCATCCTGATTGGTTAATAAATTGGCTAATAATTAAATCAGTGTTTTAATAACATGGGCTGCAAAGAGCCACCTGCGGCTTGCAAGCCTCAGTCTGAGCATCACTGCCGTAGCCCGTCTCAACACACCTTGCATCCACCCAAAAACGCCTGCAGTGGGGCATAGGCATGGCCAGTGCTATTTGGGTCAGACCCCGTCTAAGCTCCACCCGGCCCTCCTCGGGGCCAGGCTCCCGCACAACCAGGCTGGCGAGAATGGAGGTCACTGCTGTGACTGCTCCGGCTGTGCAAACAGAAGCCCCCCCGCCCCCCAAAACCTTTCCAGAATCTCCCAGGACGGCGCCATGGCTTGTGGGAGCTGTGCTGGGAACTGAGGCATCGATCCCACCATTACAGGTCTCTGACCCTTCTCTCTGCTTCCTCTAGGGGCTTGAAGCGCACAAGTACAAGAGCACCTGGGACTGCGCCTACCAAATCATGAAATATGAAGGGCCCATTGCGTGAGTCTGGCATCTCCTTTCCATGCAGGGCGCTCAGGGCTGGGTGAATGTAGAGAAACAGGGACAATCCCTGCAGCTGAGTGCTGGCGAAGCAGTTCAGACACGTATGGTGAAATGGGGAATAGTGCCATAGGAGGCAAAGGGATCTGTCACCATCATGGTTGAAAGGCACCTTACAGTGGGATTTGCAGAAGGGGGAGCAGGTCACTGGCACACGAGAAGAGGGAGGCTGTCCCTAAGGCGTAGGGGATAA